AATAAAAGTATGCATTTATATGTAACTGCTGCCAAAATTTTTAAATGTTATTTCTGCATTATTATCTGTGTTTTCTAGAATTTTCTAAATAGCATGCATTGTTCTTACAGAGAAAAGTTCTAATTATAATTTTAATTCCTATTCATTAGTCCAAACGTATTTTAATTCCAAAAATATCTTTATTTTGTTCACAAATATATGCATTTGTGTAGAGTTAGCAAAGTCTGATTTATTATGTAAAGAGATTTTTTAATCCATCATTTAAAAACATCATACAGCTCCCATGAATTTAAAGGCTAAAATTCATAGTATGTCAGCCCAAGCATACCTTTCAAACCTTATTTCCAATATTTCTTATCGCATTTCAAATCATTCACTCTCAAAATCTAATATTTGTCTCCTTTTTTTTCCCCACTGGTTCTTTTGCTTCTAATGGGTAGAAACGGCCTAAGAGGAATTAAAGAAAAAAATCAGAGCAGAGTGGCAAAATCTCAAGTGATAGTGTATCTAACTAAGGAACTTCCAGTGAAATTTTACTTTCTGAACTAAAAGCAATGTGCCCAATTTGAACTTCAGAAACCATACCCTTAGTACAACCAACAGTATAGAACAAGGGTGAGCAGGGCCTTTTTCAGAGTGGCAGTTAAATGACATTTTATTTTTTTGCAGAAAAAGACAGGGGGCACATCCATACAAAGAATTAAGAGGAGGCCTAATGGTGGGAAGTTGTCAGGGATTGAGAAAGTTAAAAGGCCACCCTATCTCCTTCCCTAAACTCTTGCTTAGATACTTCCCTCCAATTGCCGGTTCAGGAAAATTCAACTCATTCGGTGATGAGCAATGATAAGGAACTGGGTATAGCACTGACACAAAGATTCTCCATGAAAATTCTGAGAAGAATTAGTAAATTCTACTCACAGATGAAAAACATGCACCAGAAAATTTTGCCAAAAAGCCAATGAAAAAGGTAAAACTAGTGAATAAATAAACAAACAATAGAAACATAACAAAATATTATTCCACATGATGGGGAAATGTCTAGTAAAAGTGTAGGAATAAGATTAACCTACCTTGTGCAAAAAAGGCAGAATACTGTGGGAAAGGCAGCAAAGCACAGAGGATAGTCATGAGAAAAAATAACAAAGATTAGATTTAAAATAGCTTCAAGAAAAAATGATAAATACAATATGCAAAGAAGTTCTGCCATAATGAAAATTAATTTCCAAAGAAGAAAAGGAAATTAAAGGAAGAACTTTTCTCAAAGTTATAATTCAAGACAACTTTGATTAAATAAAAAATGGTTGCAATCTACATATTGAACAAATGCAACATTGTCTGAGCAAGTTGGGGGAATTACTCAGAGTGGTCAATTTTGGTTGTTGCTCATTAAAATTATTAGATTTTAAGGACAGAGAAAAAACTGGGGTTCCAGTCAAAAAAGGTTCAGTCAGAATTAGGAGATATCAGATTGGCTTCAAATTTACCAAATGCAACCATTCAATGACAGAGACTAACATAGAAATACCTATGTAATACTCAAAGAAAGAAAATATGATATACAAATTTCGTCATTGGGTAAGTCAAACTGCATAAAGTTTACTGGTTTTAATCAAGTAAGAGTTGAACTAATATTTTCCCCATGAGTTCTTCTTTGCCTGAGAATGAAGTTAAGTCAGCCAGGATATGATTGGGGAAATTGATAAAAAGACATGTCATGGCTATTGAATGTATTTGATTATAAGACTGAGATTAAACAAATGTGGAAATTAAGGTGACAGAACAAAATAAAAAAATGCTATATTAAAATATAAAAATGAACAACTGAACAAATGGGGGTTTAAAGTAATTTTACTAATTATAATTTAATCTTGATAAATCAAGTAAAACAAGTATAAATCAAATTTAAGAACACAAAGTAAACAATAAGAAGGTAAAAATTAGTGACATGGGGTGATAGAAGGTTAGCAAGAAGGAATAGGAAACCAATCCATCATTGTTCAAGGAAGGGAACTATTATAATAGAATAAAGGAAGAAAGAAATTAAAATCTTAAAGTTCAGAAGAATTATTAACTGAAAAATAATGAACAAAAAAGCAAAACATCTCATGTTGAAAGGCTTTTTAAAAAGCTCTAGAAATAGGAAATATGACATTAAATGACATTGAATTAAGACCAGACATATCTGTCAAAGCAATAAATGTCAACGGGTTTAATTCACATATTGAAAGACAAAGTTATCAGATTGCACCACAAAACAAAGAGACTCAATTAAAATAAGTGATTCTAAAAGAAACAGAATAAAAGGATGAGCAAAAGTATAAATGGAAAATGGAAAATGAAGCAAGATGCAATCTTTGTATCTGACAAGGTAGAATTCAGACCAAAAAGGATTAAATAATAAGCAGTGTATTTTATCATGCTAATGATAATTCACAATAAAGATAAAACAGTTTTGAATTTCAGTTCAAAACATAATGCCACAGCAATACTCATAAAGCAGACATTACAGAAACTATAAGGAGAGATAGAAATATCTTGCAGTAGAAGAGTTTTGTTAGCTTCTCTAAAACCATGACAGAGGACATGGACAAATATATCAATTAAGAAGGTAAATCTAACATAAATGTTTAGGGTTATGCCCT